CTGCTGAGGAGCCAGCAACATGCTGAGCAATACATTGCAGGCCTCTGGCAACGAGGAGTTCAAGAGAAAAATTCACCAACAAACATTGTGGGGGGAAAAAACAAATTTGTACATTTCTGGTAGCTGTGTAAGAAGTATTATAATTAAAGCTAAAAATCAAGGAAATCAGCTAAATATACATGTAAATATACAATATATATATATATATATAGTATGTTCCTAAGGTTTACACAGCTCTGCTACACAGGATAGTCATGCCTAGCAGCAGAGGGCGTCTGATGCAGCTTTACTTCCACTTACAGGTTTTCTCCTCCCCCCTCCCTGTGACTGGACAATGAAAAGAGAAGCAGCACACTGATGCTCCTTGCACTTGAACATACTTGATTGGCTGCTTGTCCCTTTTACTCTGTACAGAACATTACATTTTTGCAAATGAAAGGAGTTGTAAAGTACCAGCATATCCTGTCCTGTTGTAACATCAGCATTGTAATAGGAATACATACTAGGGTTGTTTTTGATAATTCAATCAATAAAATCCCTTTCTGCCTCCCCATCACTTTCAACATTTTCCTGGATCCCCAGTGTGCTTTGCATCCCTTTCCCTGCTGCTTGATGTGATGCAATCTCGATTTCTCAAGACTATAAATCCCACCATGCATTGCTTCCAGCAAGCAATGATAATGTTACATTGCTCAGACATTGAGCTGTAGTTTAGAAGGCAGGCTTTGTGGTAGTTGTGACACAAAGAAGTGCGCATTCACAGGGCTTAATGAAATGGTGTCAGTGCATTGAGGAAGTACATCCTATGGACATCTTCAATAAGTACGTTTACAAACTTCTAGATTTACATGTCTATAAGGCATAGGATAGAACTGGGTAATTCAATATGGAAATACATATTTATTTTTAGGTTTTGACCATAGAGATGTTCAGATAGACTGTCATGCTGCCATTATCTATGTTGTTGTATTTATAAGTCTTTTATTCTCATACATCCTCAATGCAATATCAACTACTTCAACAGTTATTTGGTCCATTTACAGAGGGCTCCTTGTAGGAACCTCGATTAGGTTTTGTTTTTTTTATCATGTAATTTTTTTTTATTATTGAAAATATTCCATACATACATACAGAACATATAAGGAACGAACAAATGCATTGGTATCAGAGTGTTAGCTAACATGAAAGAACAATCAATCGCTTAACAACGCCTCAAGCAATCCCTAGAACTCTTGGGGGGTGGGGGCACAGGAGATATGAAGTAGGACAATAATAATATGTAAAGTACATACAATGAATAAATGATGAACAAATGGATCACATAAGCATGTACATGAGCGTGAGCATGGACCACAGAATTTGTCATTTGCGTAGTACAAATATGATTAACGGGCGTCAGGTGTTGGAACATCTAATGCACCCAAAGATCCATCCAGCTTAGAGGTGAGATACCATGTAGTGTATTGAAACATTGTAATTATCACTTTCAGTCGGGTTAGGGGAAGTTTGGCTATTATGAAGGAGGACCAAGTGGCGCAAAAAGCCAGCAGTGAGGGGTTGATTCAGTTGTGAATCTAATAGGTCCAGAGACAACAATTTATGTAGGAGGTCCTTCGTTAATTTTGGTGAGGGGGGGATTAGGTTTTTGACTGGTCTAAATATCTGTGTGCCGATCTGTCTGCATCACAAAATCCAGGGAATTGAGGTAACAGTGATTAGCGAATTGTATAATTCCCCACATGCTCTCAGCTAAACCCAGAAATTTACAAGGTGCTGATTTTAGAATCGATATGCTGATCTCTGCGTACTTTCAGGGTAATGTCGGAGAGCGGCTCTACAAATGATAACAATGGATGAATAATGAATTGAAACATTAACAATACCTTTTTGTAATGCCTGTTTAAGTCAACTCAAGACAAAAAAAAAATTATCTGCATTTGCAGCCTATCTTTCTAATTACCAGATACTCTGTTTAAATACGAACACAAGAGCCAGATACCTGACACTGAAATGCTTCAGCAGTACAAATCCATCTGTCTGACAAGCAGACAGCTACTTGTAATGTTAATTTACAACACATATCAAAAGAAAGAAGTTCTAATATCAGGAGAGAAGTACAGTATGTTTGAAGCATTTCCCCCTATCGTTATCATTTAGGAAAATAGCAGATGAACTAGGAAGCAAAGAGTTCCTGGTTACCCATAGCAACCAGTAGTAAGTTTCATGTTGGGTAGGAATAGAAATATTCTGATTGGTAAATAAGGGGAACGAGAACAGACAGTTTTTGTCACTTTATGCAGAGACATGGCTATGTGTGCTACATGCCCCCAATATTTTAAAACTAGGTACGCTTGGCCTGTTCCGGCTTCCTCCATCCTGTGATGACCTGGGGCACTGTGGACACAGAGGGCAGAAGTACTGGTCAGGGAAGACGGGAATTATTGTGAATACCTTATCAGGGAACCTCACATGGCGGTTGGAAAGCAAGGGGGGACTGGAGGTTAAACGGGTGAAGTCATGGCTGCTGCTGGTGGGCATAGCGGGTTACCTGACGATTACCAGCCAGACATGATGGTGACATTAGGGCCAGTGCAGGACCTACTATAGAAAGTCTCTGACAGTCCTAAAAGTCTCACAAGGTGAAGACAGCTACAGGGCTATTAGTAACAAATGGCATAATGAATTGCTATAGCAAAGGCAGCATCAATAAATGCTAATTTCAAACATTTTGTGTATGTGATCAGCCTGAAAATGTGTTGCCTGATGACAGTGTCACTTTAAAGTGTGTAGTGCATTGAACATTTTTTGTAAATTTTATTCATTTCTTCTGATCTTAAACTTAATTTCCACTTTTGAAGCCAAATTGGGATAACACCTATTTTATATTTGTTACATGTTCCAATTCACATAACATAAGCTAAAAATATTTAAAAATGCTTCTTTCATTGAAGGCCTCATGCACACACAACACAAGAGCAAAATTGTATATTACGTATATACGCGTATATGCACGTATGTACGCACATATGTATACGGTTTCTTGGCTTCTTCTAGGGTTAAAATGTCTACTGGCTTCTCTAGTAGACATTTTAAGGAATTGTGAGGGCTGATGGATTTGGTAACCCTGTCTGTACTGTACTGGCTCATTTCATGATAATGTGTAAAGTAGGATTTGAACTCCAGATAGCAAGCAATTGAGCTGCAAGTTTGAAAATTACTTGCTAAACTATTGCAGACTTGCCAAGCTTCACAATTTATTTGCACAATTACAGCAAGTCTGCATGGCAAGTCTCAAGACCAGCGAGCTTGCAGAGCTCTTGCTAAGACCTGCAGGACTCTTGCTGTAGACTTACCAAGCAAATTTGCCACAAATTTAAAAAATGTCAACTAGAACTTGTGCTACGAGTGTTCTGCAAGTCTACAACTTGCCAGGAACATGTGCAGCAAGTTAACAAAATTACAATTTTACCCTGCCACAAGTTTGTACCAAGTTATCCTTGCTATCTGGGACACTGCCTGTCTTAACAAAGAGTTAAAGGATTCAAAGTCTGGTTTAGCATTGTATGTTAATGAAGTTAATAAGAGAAAAACAATCCTCAAATTTCAGTCCTAAGTCATTCTATAAGGACAGATCACTGTGACTGTGCTAAAAAAAAACAAACCCTGGAATCAGCCATGTTGCCTGCTGCAATAATAAATATAAAAGGTATTTAAAAAAATAATATATATACTAAGTACCCGGCAGCACTATAAGGCTTGCCACATAACATGAAAATATATATAGTAACCATAGAAACCCTTGGCATCCAAGCAGAATTATAATGCAAGAAAGCATATTGTCCATAGTTAATTAAAACTGGAGATAAGGATAACAGCACACAAAAAAGTTGTTTTACATAGTGACCTATCCATATTATTGTTTCATTTTTCTGGAACATAATGATGAAAACAGGATGTGTACAGTAAAGGGTGGAGAAGAATCGTGTTAGAGGATCATTAAGATTAGCCAGTTGTCTGGAGCAGAAGTAGGATGGCATTGCATAGGTGTCCTAGGGGTATAGGGAGTATCAATCTGCCAGGAGAACCTATGTTCAGAGAAGTTCTGGCGACTAGGTCTTGTTGGACACATAAAGTGTGATGGTCTTTGACAAAGCAGATAAGATACATGTTAAATGGCTGTGTTCCTGCTGCATGTTGAATTATAATTTGCAATAAAAGTGACATTTGGTAACACTAAGTGGCAAGGGAACACTCGCATCCCTTTTTCTCCGTTTACTAAGGTCTGTTAGAAGTGTTTCTGATTGAATATGCAGTGTCAATGTTTGACACACTGTATAACTGTTGAGATGTGTGTGGAAGTATTTACAGGTAACAAGTTTCTCAAGTTTATAATTGTGGAATAGTAAGTACATGCAATGGATCACAAAGATTAAAAACACACTGAGTTGGCAGCACGCTGGAAAGACAGACCACTGCTCTCACACACAATGCATCCTGGCTGCGGTCAATCATCAACATTGGCGGTTCCTTAGCAATGCTTAGATAGCAGTGGTCCGACCCTCCAAGTGCTGCCAACATGGGTTATTTTAATCCTTGCTGCAGCACACAGTATGGGATATACGTAAACACACAAATATATCTATTACCTATTATAAATATCTATATCTATTATAAATAAAGAATGTTCAATTGGCCTTTAAATGAGCTTGCCAGAAGCAGCATAGCCCCTAATACAAAGTCTTACTTTGTTAAATACTGTGCAAGGCACTTAAATGTACAATATGTATTATAATATACAATGTAATATGAAATACAATAATATATTGCAGAGTCATGCTTCACGTTTTGATCTAGTGTACAGTATATCTCTTTTGTATATAGAGTGTATCTGTCTAGTGTTGTTGAACTGATGTCACTGCATGGCAATCCCTGGATATGAGACATTCCTTCATTGCACCACTGCACATTAGATTAATTTGATGGAATATTTCAGCACTTACCACTTTCAAAGCAGGCATCAAATATAAGGTGCCCTCTTTTTGGTTGCCCATTATAGCCTGGAGGTGTTACAATCAACTTGTTAATGTTTCTAGACATGTCAGCTTCATGTTCCAGTCCACTTCCTGTGTTGAACATAAAAATGCATGGTCAGACTATTTTGTTTCATTGCCTATATTAGTTTTGTGTATTCATACCAAGAAAAGCTCATTGATTACTAAAGAGTACTGTATATCGCTGGTGTTTCTACAGTGGTTAAATAAAAGCATTTTCTTAAAGTAAACGTTTCACAGGCTTGGGAACTTGGATTGAGCATAGGATATAACAATGCATAAGTAGGGGTTACCATTAGTAAAACAAAATGACATCCAAGTCACCAGTAGATCGAGACATATGGGCAGCTGGACTTTTGTAGTAAATAGTTTAACTTAAATTTGAGTTGCTTTTTGCTTTCATGTCTGTTGCTGTAGGCAGGGCAGGCGCTACCGCAAGGCAAGTCAGGCGGCCGCCTGAGGGCGCTGCAGGATGTGTTAGTTATCGCATTGGATTTACCTGAAGGAGGTTCTGTGTTCCATCCCCATTAAAACCTATGCTTTCAGCAGCCCATGACTAAGTAATTCCAGGTAGTGATTGATAGCACTCGGGTCCTGGCACCATAAAGTGCACAAGAAGACCAAAAGTATGAAATGACTGGGTTGGAATAATAGGTATAAAAAGGGAAGAAGCAGCAGACTGCTGATTTTCAGAAAGCAAAAGAAGCATACATAGATTGTGGCTGGCGATACATGACTCTAATAGTATACTGTTTACTCTGTACACATAAATAAATTATTGACAAAAATATAAAGTATAAAAGGAGATAATTGAGAAGTAACAATGCTTATGTCTCTAGGACTGTGCACTTTCTATTCTGCAGATCTGGCTTCTTTCTTGGCAGAGGGACTAGCCAAGACAGCTGTTCAGTTCAATTGGTGCCATTACGTCTCTCCAGATAGTGCAGGCACACACTGTGAATGGAGCAAAAATCGCTCATGTGTATTGAGCTCACTATGCCCTTTAAAACATCAGTATTGAGGGAGCACTCAGCAGCTCGGATGAGAGCACACTATGTCCCAGCCATGGTGGACCTGTAGGAATGGTAAGAATTATTCGTTCACTCCCTTTAGTTTTATCTTGAAAGAGAGACAACTCCAAACAGTAGGGGCAACAAAATTGAGGACAAAAAGTCCCAGGAGAGAGCCGACTAGTATTTGTAGTATTTTTGTAGTATTTTATAGTGCAAAGCAATAGATACCTTTTAAATAAATGTAGAAGAAAGAGTGTGATACTCACATAGATAGGTTGTGAGAAATCCCCTTGGGAATATCAGGCAACCTAAGGTGCAAAAAAGTGTGCAGGTAATATTTCTGCCCCTGCGCAGGATGGTCGCTCTCAATGCTCCTCGAGGTGGAGTTTGGATGATCCAGAGCTTGGCAGCTAGAGGGACCCGATGTGTACTGGAGAGATGAGACAAGAATGCCCCCAAAAAATGTAGGTGCAAAACAGCAGAAGCGCTCAGGTGGAAGAGATGAAATGATTGTGTTTCTTCAATTCAGACGTTTATTCCATGAAACACACACACACAGAGTGGTGCGGGAGATGCTACCACTCTGCTTTAAGTGTCTCATCACACCCTCCTGTGATGAGACACTTAAAGCAGTGTCCATCTTAGAGCCACAAAATGCGTTGAGACTGTGATAGTTATGTGTGTGTTTCACAGAATAAAAGTCTAAATTGAAGAAACATGATCATTTCATCTTTTTTACCTGGGCGCCTCTGCTGTCTTGCACCTACATTTTTTTGGGTGGCATTCTTGTCTCATCTCTCCTTAAGTTTTGTAAACAGCACATCAGCGGGCAGAAATAAAATATACAGTATGTTTCTTCATAATTTAGTTTTGAGAAGGTATCTTCAAGCCCTGTGGAGTAGACTTGTGCGCCGTCAAAAAATTTGTTTCGTTTCGTTCCGTTTCGGAATATCCGTTATTTCGTATTTCGTAATTCGTGTCCGAAACTCAATTCGGATTCGTACGAAAAACCAATTTTCGTTAGTTTCGGCACATTTTCGTAATTTGTTATGATGAAGTTAAAAAGCAAAAATACCTTTGTTAATATTGGAGTCGATGTGGTAGTTGTTTTTTTATCCGAAATACGAATTCCGTTAACGGATTCCGTATGCGAATTTCGTATTTCAGATTTAAAAAAAACTACCATCAAACTCCAATATAAATGTACTTTGCTTTTTAACTTCAATATAACGAATGTTCGTAACGGAACGAAAATACGTCAACGGAATTTCGTATTTCCTGCCTGTGTATTGTAATGCAACCCTCAGCAGCAGCGGATCTGTATTTCGGATGAAAAAAAAAATCTTGTCATGTTGTTCAACCTCATTTACAGGAGTAATATTAGTTCCTGTTTCAAAGAAATTCGGATCCGAAATTCGTTAACGGAATTTCGTATTTCGGATATAATTCGGAAACTGCAATTCGGATTTCGGATGCTTCCGAATTTACGAATTTCAGGAAAATTCGTACGAATTTTGATTCATAACGAAACGAATCGCACATGTCTACTGTGGAGTACATAAGACACGTAGTGCAAGATACCCTACAGCACAACACTTTTTAAACCCCTTCAACATGCAGGGACTAAATGGCATTTAGGAGTGTAAGTAATGAAGCAGTCAGAGTCAGAAGTGATGCCAGAGAGATCTTGTTGCTGGACTCTCTCAGACAAATCTAGTTATTTAATCCACCAAACTTCACTCATACCTGAAATTTAATTTTGAGTCACTTTTATGCCCATATCTTTTTTTTTTGCTATACACACACTTCAGGCCTAAAAGATTATACAAAAAGACTTCCAAATTGTAACTTCAGCCAAAACCTTTTTTTTTTTTTTGGTTTGGATAGAGTAGTGAGGAGTTAGAACCCCTGTGATTTTTTTCTTGATGTCTGTGACTCCCGGGAGGGGGGGGGGGGGAATTCACCCTCCTGATTTGTCCTTGTAGCCAATGTCACTAAGGCAAATACTGACAGAAATGCAAAATTTTAGAGCAGGTGAGGAAAATCTTTGAATGGGGACACCAGTTCCCATGACAACTGTCTAAGATGGTATGTTCTCTCCCTTTGGAGAGATGTCCTTTCACTTCCTGTTGTGTCTCAGGGACAGGAAGTGAAGAGGAATGTCTCTGGTATAAAACAAAGAGCAGAAAGAGCTTAACAAATTTCTACTCTATCCAAAACCAAATAAACAAAACAACTTTTGGCTATAAATACAATTGAAGATTTGTGGCCATACTTTCTGCATGGAGATGAAATAACTCTATCGTGCAGATGCGTAGGCTGATTGCTCAGTCGCACAATCAGTAATCTCCTGGGTGCAAGGTCACATTGAAATCAATGTGATACAAACAAAGTGATCAGTCTTAGAAATAATGTACATTTCGTCTACTGCGGTACAAAACTTCATGTGAAGTTATGCCTAGGGTGTAAGAGGATCTGTCCAATAAGGGACTGTTTACATGATTTTGCTTGAAGTATATGCATTTAAATTTGGATTTCTAATTGGTTTTCCATTGGTTTTCATTTGTTGTGGTGCCCAGGTTCGGGAACAATAACCTTACCACGGTTAAAGCAGTAAAATATTCCTTTTCCTTGAAAGCAACCCACATCATTCAGGCTTTCTCCTACATCCTGAAAATCTGCTTGATTACATCCTCACGATGTACTTCCAGGACACTCAGATGTAAGTGTTGTAGGTCTCATAGACCCAAATGATGCGATTGTTTCAGCCTCCCTCTCATCCTGGCCACACATGTCATATAACAAAGCTTGGGGCTTTGTACTTTGTGAATGGTCAGGAGGAGGCAGAGACAACTACAGAACTGGGGTCTATAAGACCTGCACCGCTTACATCCAAAAAGCCTGAAAGTACATCAAAAGTAGAGCTGCAGCTAACGATTATTTTCAAAATCGATTAGTTAGCCGATTATTAAGTTCGATTAATCGGTTAATCGGATAAAAAATAAAATACATTTTTAAAAATGGCTCCAGTGATAGGATTACTAGTTTGTATTGAGATTGCAGTCCATCACAGGAGCGAGCTTGGAGCAGTAGAAGTAAAAAAGAAAAAAAGTGTGGTGTGCAATATAGTGAAATAAAAAGTGTAAAATTATACAGCAACACCACCAGCTATAGAGGAATACAACAAATCCCAGCAATAGTACATTATAGCTGGCGGTATTCTGCATTGCACTGTATAATGTACTATTGCTGGGTTTTGTAGTCCTCTATAGCTAGTTGTATTCTGCATTGCACTGTATAATGTACTATTGCTGGGTGTTGTAGTCCTCTAAAGCTAGTGGTATTCGGCATTACTCCTCTATAGCTGGCGGTATTCCGCATTGCGCTGTATAATGTATTATTCTTTGATTTGTAGTCCTCTATACAGCGCAATGCAGAATACCACTAGCTATATAGGAATACAACAAATCCCAGCATTACATTGAGTGTACAATGTATTGCTGGAATTTGTATTCCTCTATAGCTGATGGTATATTGCTCTGTATAATATACAGTGCAGCACAATGTACCATCAGCTATAGAGGAATACAAATCCCAGCAATACATTATAGAGCACCATGTGTGGGAAAGTGCAGGCTTACTTGAGCAGTCTTCCAGCAATTTGTTTCTGAGATCGTGCCTGTCTATCGGCGGCTGTCATCCGCCCACACCTGCTCCTCCTTACTTCTCACCGCGTCCCTTTGCCGATCATGGATGCGGGCGGTGAGCGTGAGGCGGGGAGGAGATACCGCGTGTGGAGCGTGGATGCGGGCGGGCAAGGTCTGGCAGCGACAAACGTGAGGTGGGGAGGAGCTGCGGCGTGCAGCGTGTGTGGAGCCGTGAACAGGGCCAACCAATCGGAAGCCGATTAATCGATGATTGAAAAAGTTGAAAACTTTTTCAATCATCGATTATAATCGATTATGTCGATTAGTTGTTGCAGCCCTAATCAAAAGTACTAATCACAGCATGGAAACAAGCAGATTTGCAGGATGTAGGAAAAGCCTGCATGATTGGGAT